CTTCAAGAGAATGTTGTATGTAATCCTATTTGCCGGCACACCAATCCTCGCCATCTCTGCCAGCACTTGCCGAGCTCGATCCATGGCACCCACCTTCACAAAAGCAGAGACCACCGTTGTATACGTGACGTGATCAGGATGGCTCGCTTGGTCGTCCTGATGCCTCATCGCTTCCAGCATTCTAACAGCGTCAGCAGCTCGACCTTGCTTCATGTACCCTTTCATCAATGTCGTATATAGTCTTGAATTTGGAGCATAAGATTTAGGCAGCAATGGCGGCTCGGTTTCGTTACCATCGTCAACGGAATTAGGAAGCAACTTCTCAAACACGACTGCCTCATCATCTACATTCCCATCTTCATCTTCATCATCATCATCGTCTTCCCTCGATTCCTCGTCATTCACCTCCCTCATAATCTTGCACAAATCTCTCCTTCCTTCCCTCAAGGCCTGAACCAGCTTCTCAGCAGTTTCTAGATCCCCAAACCCTACATAAGCGGCCACGAGGGAATGGAGAGTGGTCATACAGAACGGGACTCCCTTCTGGATTGCAAACTCGACGACGAACACCATCAAGTCCTTCCTGTTGCAACGGGCGCAGAGCTTTATCATGACGTTGTAGGTCAAGATGTCGGGATGGAGACCGAGCTCGGGCATTTCGTCGAACAGTTGGAGGAACGTTTTGGTGTCCCCGACGTTGGCGCAAGCGTTGAGAGCGTTGTTGAAAGAGGCAGTGTCCGGCATGGAATCGCGGACCATCTCCGGGTCGGGGAATTTCCGCACTCGTCGGACTATCGATTTGAAGAGCTTTAGGGCCAAGACGGGGCCGTCGTCCGGGGAAGAGGCCAGGCGGCTGACCACCGCCGACCAGGCCTTGACGTGGGGGAGGTAGCCGGAGCGGAGCATGGAGTTGATGACGGAGACGGCGTAAGGGAGCTGGCCGGACTTGGTGGCGGAGACGGCGAGGAGGCCGAGGGAGTTGGCGTCGAGGCGGTGGAGCTCGCGGTCATGGCGGAGGCGCGTGAGGATGGACTGAGCGCGTGCGAGGGAGAGAGGGGAGTTTTGGAGGGAGAGTTGGGAGACCAGGCGGCTCAGGCAGGTGGAATTGGGGAGGTGGTGAGGGGATGACGCCTCGTACACCGCCCACGCCTCGTCGGTCTTCCTCTGACGGAGGAGGAGGAGAAGGGCTTGGTCGCTGGCGGAGGCGGAGTAGGGGGCGGGGGTAATGGCGGTGGTGGTGGTTTGCACGCAGAACGAGCGCGCGGATCTGGAGTGGGAAGCGGACGGCGGGAGGGAGAAGCAGTGGAAGGGAAGGGCGAGAGGGAAGAGGTTAAGGAGGGAGAGCGAGGAGGAAGGAAGGGGTGTGCTCATGGCTGCTGCTGATGGCGGCGGAGACGGTGGTCGGAGTCCATCTAATGCGGCGAGAATTCGGAGAGCTGGTTGGCGGTAAAGGAAGAAAGGGGGAGAGGATAATGGAAGCTTGTGGTGTGGAGAGGTGCTACCAAGGCAAAAAAATTTGAGCGGCAGTACAAAGCTCGAGTTTCGCAATTCGCACCTTTTGCTTTATTCGTTCCACCGCCACGTCAGTAAACCAAAATTCCAAACTCTTTTCATTTATCAATTTTTTAACTCGAAACACAAGTTCTATTTAACGGTGGAGCATGGTCCATGAAACCGTACCGGAAAAGTCAGCTGTATGATATTTTGTGGCAAAATTGTAGTTTAACCGTAGTTCAATTGTTAGTGCCGTTAACTAGCGTCTATCGGTTTAGCCTTCGATATGATATTTTGTGGTTGAACAGCCGGTACGGTTTCATGGACTATGTTGTGAAGGATGGGAGCCTCCAATCAGGAATTAGGAGTGGGAGGGGTCTCCTAATTTCAATCCTCGCCGGCCGGAAGGGATCTCCTAATGTTCTGGGGATGTCTCTATTGCAATTTGCAGCTGCAGTACGAGTTGTAGTAGGATCCCATCTTTGATGTTCTGCCATCCACTCTTTCCCACAACTTTGCAAACGTTTGGTTGGTGCCAACTGCTCCATTTTTTTATATCGACACCCAAGTTTTGCACAAAATTTCATCTTTATTGTGTCGCCAATTAGCTCCTCTCTTGCCTGTCATTTTTCTGTTTCCAGATATGATAAAATATTTGAGAGAATACGTTTTGAACTCTAAGAATGAGTGAAGAGAAATCTATAAAGAGTGCTTGAATAGATAAGAAAAATATGACCTTTTTTATTGCTGTTAAAATATGAATGTTGCAATGTTGGCGTTGTTTCGTTACTACATCAATTATTTCTCATTTAAGTCACACAGCAGCAACCAATCACAAGTGGGAAAAGAGAGGAAAAAAAGGGGTATGGCTGCCGCATGACGGGTCAGATTTTATGATATGGCGGGTTTAAAATGGGATGAATCGGCAATTCTGTTAACCAAATCAGCAAATAACTGACGGTGTTAACAGAGACGAACAGAGACTAACGGAGAGTGACCATACTTGGCCTGTTCTATTAAATTTAGTGAACAAGAATGGAATTAAATATTTTTAGTGACAAAACATTAATTTTTTTAGTAATTGCAGTGACCAAACTTGCAATTTACCCCTAACAAATGTTGGGATTTCTTATATGCTAGTCGCATAATTTCAGACCACTTGGTCAGAGCACTAAAATGGTTGAGATGTTACAAATTGTATCAGAGCCTCTGTGCATCCTTCTTGAATAATGATAGGGAAAACCTCAAAGAGAAACTTGGAGTTCTAAGAGGATGTAACATATTTGATAACACATTAGACAAATTCCTCATCGACCAAACACATGAGAGATCTATAGTTCATAAGAAAGGGACGAGATACGGTGACAACCTCTAAGGGGGTTGTCAGATTCACAACCCACTTCATAGTCCTTGGATACGCTCTCTCTCCTGTCTCTTTCTTCTTTTTTTAAATTAACGGTTAAGATTAAAGGAAGGATATTTTTGGAAAGGTAAAAATTTACCACACCCAATCATTCATCCTACCATATAAAAAGAAAAAAAACCCTAACCCTCCATCCTCCCTCTCTCTCTCCTCCCTCTCTCCCGTACAGCAGGATTCACCGTCGCATGTCTTCATCCTATCGGGCCAGAGCAACATGGCTGGCCGCAGCGGCGTAATCGCCAACCACCACAAAAAGATCTGGGACGGGATCGTGCCGCCGGAGTGCGAATCTCACCATGCAATCCTCCGCCTCTCAGCCGATCTCCGCTACGGCGGCAGTCCCTCTCCACGCCGACATCGACGCGGGGAAAGCTTGCCGGGTGGGCCTCGGCATGTCGTTCGCGAATTCCGTGAGGGATCGGTTGTGCGGCGGCGGTAGCGGTGCCATTGGGTTGGTTCCGTGCGCCGTGGGAGGGACGACGATCTGATTTTTTGTTTGTCTCTACTGGTACCAATACCAGTGGCTCCCCTATCATCTGGTACCACTATCATCTGGTTTTTTTTTTTGTGTGTTATTCTCTACTGGTACCGTTACCAATGCTAGTGGTAGCGCTACCAGTGCTAGTAGCGTTGTGTTATTCTCTACTGGTACCGCTACCAATATGGTAGTGGTACCGTTGTACTGGTAGCGTACCACTAGGGATGGCAATGGGTCGGGTTGGGTCGGGTTTTGTCAAACCCAAACCCAAACCCATGGGTTTATCTTTGAAAAAAACCCGGGGTAAAACCCACTGGGTTTGAAAAACTCAAACCCAACCCAACCCGTTGGGTATTCGCGGGTTCATGGGTACCCACGGGTTTTGTCGTAAAAAATTTACAATTACAAGTTCTTATCAAAATTAAAGTCAAATATCAATCTCTCAATACAAATTATCCATATATAAAACACCATTCTAGAAAATTCAAGCAAATCACAAATTAACTATACAAATTGTTCAACACCAATCTAGAAAACTCAAGAAAATTGAAGCAAATCACAAATTATCCATAAATAACATGTTTAATTAAAAGCTTCTTCTTGTTCAATTAAGTTTCTTTACTCTCCACTCCATAACATCAACTTCATTCTACACAATTAAAAAGAAAAAATTAGACATATCTCCACAAACATAAATAAGATTAGTTGTTTAGAATATTAAATATACCGAAAAAATTAATTATATGGGTGGGCGGGTACCCACGGGCCGGGTTTACCTAAACCCAAACCCAACCCAACCCGGTGAATAGTGAACGGGTTTAAACCCAAACCCGGCCCAAAACCCGTCAACACGGATTTTACCCGCGTTGACCGGGTTGGGTCGGGTGGGTACCCGTGGGTTCGGGTTTTGTTGCCATCCCTACGTACCACTAGTACTGGTACATTTTTTACTGGTACCGCTAGTACTGGTACATTTTTTAACGTACTGGTAGCGTACCACTAGCACTGGTACATTTTTTACTGGTACCGCTAGTACTGGTATATTTTTTAACGTACTGGTAGCGTACCACTAGCACTGGTATATTAATTACCAGTAGACTAATAGATTGGTACACTTTTTAACGCATTGGTACATTTTTTCAGGTTGCCGGAGGGAGTCTGCCGGAGAGAATTCGCCGGAGAAAAAGTTTGTCGGTCGATGTGGAGTGGCTGCTGGAAAAAGGAAGAGAGAGATAGATAGAGATATTAATGTATAGGATTTAAATTTCAGAAAAAAAATTGTATTTAATATGGGTTTTTAATTCCCAATATAATTAATACAAAAAAGGTAATTAATATATTCCTTTTTCTCATACCCAAAATACCATTGGTTGTGAATCTGACAACCCCTTAGGGGTTGTCACCGTATCCCGTCCCCATAAGAAATAATCCAATGTTAACTGACAGGATGCATTTTAAGATGAAATGAAGAGATGAAATGAAGAGATTCTTATAAGTTAAAAGTGGGCGGCGTGAAGTGTAAGAATGAGTGGCCTATATGAGTTAAAGGGTTGGGGTGTTAACGGTTTCCATTTTGTGTGGCGTGGATACCATTGGAGAAAACGAGACCAGAAACTGTCTGACATTGTCCATTGCAATTTGGAACCCAAACGGATCGGTCTGTACATAACTGCAGAAAGGAAAACCAACTAATAATGGAACTAAAATATCCAGTTGAATAATATCTAGACTTCCATGTTTCCATCTTCTGTACACCAAACGACTGCTACCTCCAACACCTTCTTCTAGCCTATATATATGTACATTATGGCCCCCTACCTAAAATCAAAGCCAAGAGGAGAAGAGAAGATAAACCTTCGAGATGATGTTCCATTCCAACAAGGCACAAACTAGCTTAACAATCACCTCCCTCCCTACCTTCTATCTAATTTGAAAGGAAAACAGGAAAGCACGCCCCCCTGTTATGTTATTTACAAATTCACAGATTCGTTGGCTATGTACCACGCCAGCATCCGAGCCAAATCTACGAAAGATGGAACGAGCCTTGCCCTTCTGTAATTGCATATACCAGTTTCTCCTTCATCTTCTCCTGGAAAAATAGAAGAGATGAAAACAGAACAAGTGAAAACCATGGCGAAGATTGGCACACCACGCAATAGCGAAAACAGTGGAAACTGCGGAGTTCGATGGGGTTACTTTAGTTGAGTAAGGGGGCAACTTGAGGTAATTAGCACAGGTCATGACACTGGGCAGGTCCACATCTGCTGAAGCGCTGCAGTGCTGTGGTGCGAAGAGCAAATGAGAGAATTTTAGATGGTTAAACTAAACCAGTTGAATAGGAGGTTAGGAGAGAGGTGTTACTTGGGATGGAAGGAAGCGTACCTTCCTCACGATTGTCAGCTTAGGATTCAATGATGCTAAACCTCCTGGAGGCAGTCGAGGTGCCCCGGTCACAAATTGGAGAAATGCTCTTCTCTTCTCGTAATCAAACTCCTGAATTATTTCCAGCAACTGATTCCACCAGAAAATAAAAAGCTTACCTTAACTACCCATGTTAATACAAATGCTGTGACCTAAACGTCCATACTTTGAGAGAGAGAGAGAGAGAGAGACAGAGAGAGACAGAGAGAGAGACAGAGAGAACCTACGTTTATGACTGGAGGACTGCTTGCAGTGTAGCCATGATCAAACTTGATATGATCGAAGAGCTCATTGAACTGCTTCATAAGGTAGGTGAGAAAACAAGAAAAACAAAATACCCATTACGTAATTGAGAGTTGAAAACGTGGGGAGCAAGTAAAACGAATGGCCAATCGAGAGACAAACTTACACTCCAGAAATCCCTCTCTCCGCACACTAACCGCTCTAATTCCTCTTCTGTGAAAATCTTGAGATGTTCAATTGGGAACACCTGAAAGTAAATTTCAGACAACCAACCTCAATAAGTTTGGCGACTACTTTGTAACAGGGGTTCACACATCAACATTTTATATTGCTATTGAGCCTTCGTGTCCCCAAGTATAATAACATCCTGTTTATGCTAAAAATCTGATGAAATTAGACCATAAGTTGCTTATTGTTTAAATGTCAGTTCAAACTACATAAATAAACCAGCTATCCTACGAAAGCCAAATGGAACAACCAACATAAGACTTCTGATAAAAGGTACCTGATTAAATCCTGATTTGAAAGCTTCAACCTGTCTACAAATTCCAGAACGCACAGTAGCATCCACCACAAGGGTAACATACTCCTCCAAGTTATCCATATTTACCTAACATGAATACACCAGAAACACAAAACACCAGTAGTTCGTACATAATCATCTGTCATTATTACCAACAAAAGCAGTCAATTGTTGTGGAGATATTCCTCACCATTTTAGGATCTTCATTAGCATTAAGAACATAACACGGATAGCCAGGAAGAGTAAAATCGAGACAAAGATCCTCGATTTTGGTGTCCCGGAAGCATGCATCAAAACTGGCTCCAATAACACCAGATTCCAAATCAATCTTTTTCCTGTTAACCAGCGCCTGAAACTCTAGCAATGTCCTACCCAGCTCAGGATCAAATGATGGGATGTCGCATATGTTCAGTTCCTTCAGGTAGAAATATTAAAACAAACAGTCAGCCTCATTGACAAATCAAAATCTCAGATAAAGTGTTTAAGAACTAAGAAGTCTTCTAAGGGTGAAAGCATTCGAACTTCATATAATTAATCGACTACCTGATGAAGAATAAGCTTATAGAAAGCTTTAGAGAAGGGCAGATCCAAGACTCTTCCATCTTGAAGAGCTTTTGCCACAATTTGGCCCAACAGGAAAAACCTTTTACCGACCTCACAAAATTTTACTCCATTAGATGCATCCCGCATAAGTGGCGGCATCGGGCAAGGAAAAAGCCCAAGAGGTGAGACAACTTCAGAGTGCTGAGTCTGCATTTCTTTCGCCATGCATGAAAAGTGCTCTCCTCTCCACATGGCAAGACCAGAATTCTGAAACTCGTGAGAGACCAAAGTGTAAAACTCCAATGTTGGGCCAAGACCAGTACCAACTTCTTCACTATATTCAACTTCAACGGGTGCTCTAACATTACTATAAAGGTCCATCATTCGAGCAGCAGACTCCAGAATTTGATCACGAGATACTAAGAACTTTTTTCGGGGCGAACTACCAGCAGCAAGTAATCTTCTGTCTCTCGAGAGGCCTGGATTATTGTTATTATGTTGTTGCAGCTGTGAAAGAGCTTTCTGAGGACCAAAGGCTGATAACCGGAAATATTTACATCTTGCCTCAAACCCAAATAGAAAGGGGCATGAATCCATTAGCTGATTGCACCACAGAGGTAAGCCACCTGTCGATACTGCTAATGGATCCCTCATCTGCTGCTCCAGTTTTTCTGTCAACTTACTGTTCACAAACTCGTTCTGGGGTACCGAAAGAAAAATCACTTTGATATCGTCCAAGTTGTGTATGAGTGATTTGGCAAAACAATGCATTCTTTCCCAAGACATTAGCTGAAAGGTGCACCTGTTGAGACCTTCTAAGCACTTTAGCAGAAACAATGTAGCATAAGTAGGACTAGACTTGTCCACGTCAGAGACTAGTTCAGATTCCAACATAGAACGGAAATATGAAGTATAGAGCAAATGAGCCTCAGTTTTGTCCAAAAGGGGTCGAAGTGGATCCTGGCTTCCTTCACGGTTTTCATCCTCGGGTTCAGTGGCTACCTTATATGTAATAGTGTACACTTGACTCCACAAGTTTGCACTGGAATTAGTTTCGAGCTCTGATGTAATCTTTTGTTGGAGAAACGCTTGGTACAATGTTAAAGTCTGGTCCAGCGGTTGCCCATCCATGTAGAAAGCCAATTTCAGAGAATCATCTCTGCCGTGAGGAGATGCAGAACAGCAACTGTCTGAGCCCACTACTCTCGTGGAAGGAGACTCTTCCCCTGGTTCCACAGAAGCCTGATATAGTAGGAATAGAAATTTGCAAAAATGAGGCAAATTATTTTTTTATAAATTTTTAAAGTAAACAATCCATTTGAGAGGGTGTAGTGGTATCCTTAGTCTTTTCAGGTAGACATGGCAGAAAAATTATTTGCTTTATGTACAGGAATCCATATATAAAGTTGCAGCAAAGTGGAAAAACTTCAAGTGAATCATTCCAAGGACCAGAAACTATAAGATCCATGAGATAAGAGTTAAACTCACACTAACATTGTTGTTTTCGGACAATGATTGACTGGGACTTCTTGGTTGCAGAACTTCAACAGTTTCAGATGAAGATTGAGATGGCTTAGCTCGATCTTCCTGCAGGAAAAGTTTAAAATGTCTGTCAAATGCCAAGTCTTTGCGTACAAAGAAACAAGCATCCAGAAGATTCATCAGTTCATAAGACTCGGTGAAACCCACACAAAACTTACCTGCATTACAGGAAAATCGGCAGACATGTTCTCAGATTCCACCATCCCTGAACTCTCTCCTTGAACAGAGGTTGCATTTAAGGGTATTTGAAGTTGTACTCCTTCCATTGGCTCCACAGACTGACCAGCTGATTGTGTTCTCTTTCTCACTTTTCTTCTAACCTTGGCCAACAAAAATCCTTGAATAGCAGTCAAAGAGGCAAAAGGGTCAACAGATACAGCATCTTCAGAGTAGTCACGAAGGCACATCTCCTTCTCTTCCCTTTTGAAGCGCACTCTTAAGCACGGGTGAGATGTCACACGCCCATGAGGAACTGTTGCATAGAAGTTTCTTTGCTTGAATGAATGGCTTAGAATGACTGGGAAATTTTCCAAAGATGATAATGCATTTTGCAGTTTTTGTATAAGAACTGATATAGTGAACCCTCCATTCAGATCTGTAGATAATGGAAATAACCTGGCAAGTACCTCAAACCTTTCTACAACATGGCAATAATCATAGTCAGCAAGTGGCACCATCTTTTCTCTGAAACACAAGCCATTTGACAAATAACTTGATAGTGATCTTACAATCCCACTCTCGATAAACTCAAAAGCCGAGACAGGTTCTCTTCCACCAAGCTTTCCCATAATTTGGTGCAGTAGATTATAAAACCTCTCCTCACCATGAGTAGAACAATCAGAGCCAGCTTTATTCATCAACTCATCCAAAGCAACAGCAAGAGCACGAAGATTTTGCAGGATATCTGTCAGTCCTTTGTCAGAATCATCTAACTCTTGAGTAAAGTAACTGGTTCTAATGTGCCTTGCCAGATTTTGAACACTATCCTTTTCAAGTTTGCATTCCCCAGCTTCAGAAGTAGAGGCAGACTCGTTGGTATCAAGAGAATAACATAAGCACTTCAGTGTAGTCCTTGAAGCAGTTTTTTGACCCACCTCAAGTGGAAGTTGAAAGCCATTGGACCCAGGTATAATTGAACTCGAACATTTTTCTGGTGTTAGAAGGGCATCAATTGCAAAAAAGACACCCTCCTTAATGAAAGAGTTCAGTGAAATCTCTGGAACCTTCTGCAAAATTCTCTCAGCAATTTGAAGGACTAAAACAAGTACATGGGTGTCCTTTCTAGTAAAGACGCCAGCTAGGAAACTGCGACATCATTTACAAGTAGTTGTTAGCCTATCAGACAAAAGATAAATAGATATATATTATCTAAGAAAAAGAAGGCCCAAGTTCACCTTGCAATGTTTGCTTCCTTGAACAAATCAGCAAGTGTGTCAGGTTTGCAGAAATAAACTAACTTGTTGATAACAGATAGACATCCATAGCAGACATACAAATTTGCACCAGAATTAATCACCTGTTTTGAGTGGAAAAGTGAACATCACAAAGTTACAAGAAGGAATTCATGAATCCAATCAAATCACAGATTAGAAGCCAACCTGGACCAACATGGGCATTATGTCTGACCCCAATTTATGCAGAAGATCTGGGTGATCGTTAAGATAGGACTCTTTGTCCAACAACTGAGGTTGAGCATCTTGTTCTCCTGTTACCGATGGTAGAAGCTGAATTAGCAACTTCAGAACTTCATACACCTACAATATAGAAACAGCAAAGGGGAACCGATCATCGCATCCTCTTCAAATCCATAAGACACATAACTGTGGATTCAGTGTGAAGTCAACATTACTTCAGAAGAACAAAGAAGGTTAAGAGAGTAAGAGGTCCAATTTTACCTGGTTTCCTTGCCCATCAACCAAATGAGGAGAAAAGATTCCATGAGAGAGGTCATAGTTAGCTAATATTTCCTTCAGAATACTGCCTATATTAAGGTCATAGAGAGTCTTAAAAGCAGTGAGTGAACCACAAGAGAGTTTAGTAAGGAGCCCAATCATGCCCTGAAGATGGAAATAAACTGAGAACGTCATGGAACCATAACAATAGAAATAGGGAAATATGTTAAGATTTATCAGTCATGGATACATACATTGTATATTGGCTGGGATAAAGTTGTTCTGCTATTCCATTGTACTAAATGTGCGGCCTGATTTACTAGCCCATGCTTACAGAGATCATCCAGCATCTCTTGAGAATGACAAACTCGTTCAGCTATTTTGATCAAGCAAGTGGCCGCATTTTCGACAAGCTGCAGAATAATATTACCAAAACAAGGTTTTGAGGAGACAAGTATCATTTGTAATTCTCTCAATCAGAACACGGAAATACTAAACCATAAAAAAGAAAATTATAGCTTAAGGCCACAGCACACCTGTCGATCTTCATACTGCAAGAGATTGCACAATATTGGAACAGCCTCCATGAAAGGAGCAGAACTATCTGTTGGCAGTTTTTTACATATATTAACCACTGTTGAAAGAGCAACTCTCTGAAATAAAAGAAAAACGAAAAAGATTATTGTTGAAATCTCCTGGAACAAAACAAGTTTGTAGGAATCCACATTAGGAAACAAATGCAGAAGAGGAACACAGAATCTCATTAACGGATGCATGTCTTAATTTCACGCACCTGCACACTTGTGGAAAAGAAGTCTATAAAAGTTAGAACAGCCATGACTGCACCAGCCTGTAAGCAAGGTAGCGGTTGATCATGTGATATTTTCTCCAATGCTTGCAAACACTGTTGACATTTAAATGTGCTAAGGGGATTAGAAAACTATTCCTTGCTGCATAAATAAAAGCAGCAAGTAAACCAACAGATGAACCAGATTGTACCTGTTCAGCTACATCTAAGTATTCAATGTTCATTAACCTCTGACAAAGAGCTGGAACTGCATTGTGTCCAACAAGCAAGCTAGACGCCCGAGGGAAGACATCACACAAGTAAGTTAAAGCCCTTATGGCCAAAAGCATTATATCTGGGTTACTCTCATCCCTAGCAAACCTAACAAGCACTGGGGACAAAGAATCTGCCATCATAGTTGAAAGTGAATCCTCGGAGCAAAATGCCAGCACTTCACACAACTGTGTTAGAGCAGCTAACTTGGCGGAAGATTCACTTCCTTCACTCAGATTGGATAAAACGCTCCTTAATCTACCATGATCACCAGATGATCTTTGCCTCTGATAATTCCGCAGGCTGCTCTGTCTCGGATCTGCATCATCAGAATCGCACGAACCATAAGCAGAATCCCTCTCATGATCCTCTTCCGAGTGGCTTGAACCCCCAGAATGAGAAGATGTAGTATCCATATCAGCGTCACGGGTCTCTGCGTCATTGGGATCAGGCGTGGAAGTAATCTGTGCTTGAGCTGAGGAATTCGATGTACTCGGTCTAAAATCCAATGAACTGCAAGCTCTCTTGTCAGCTGGCAATTCATCGATCACTTCTGATCGCTTTTGTCCACGATTGGCCATTCTCCCCAGGATCCTAACAATAATTCAACATCAATTGACGAAATCCAACACACATTTCGCATCTAAACAGAAACAAGAAGCAATCCGAGAAAGGAAAGGCTCCAAATAGCAAGAAATTCAGCATCTAGCATTCCGGCAAGTGCTGAACACACTGTGAGCACTGCCATTGCTGATGATTTTAAGCACTCTAGAATCGCAGATATAATCAAGGGCACCATGCCTATTAGTGAAAAACACTGGGCTTCAACCGAGAATTGTAAGAGGAAACGAACTCAAAGTATACACCATGGGAGAACAAAGAAGCAATTTTTCATCAGCATACAGAACACAATCAATCAGTCCCAATCTCGATCGAACCCTTCTTCCCAAGAAGGGAAAATTCCACAACAAGCAGAACCAGAAATCAAATCCTGCCTTCGAACACACAAAAAGGCAAAGCACCGAAACGAAAGAGCAAGAGAAGAAGAAGAAAAAAAAATACACAACAGCCAATGATGTTCATTCCGCTGGGATGGTGAAGACAAAGGAGTCTACGATCGAGTCGCAGTTGAGAGGATTTAACAAAAGGAGTACCTAAATAATTTACTGATGAGTTTTTCTTCGAGTTGTTTAAAATTGGCCTTCGAAGATGATCGAAGACCTGAAATTTGCAGTGAAGAAATATAGAGCACTTCCGGTCTTGGTGTTATTTCTGTCCGATGTTCATCTCGTTCTTTAACAAACAAGAATCCTTCTGCAGTTTCCGGACTCCTCGCCGTCGTTTGGTTTTCCGCCGATGAGGCTGGTGCTTGTGCCGGTGGTGATGATCCAAACAGAGGCGAGGGCGTGGGTGTATAAGAAACAGAAACGGGGTGGCGTATTTGTATCAGTTGGAGTTGGAGTATATATATGGATGAGGTAAAAAGAGGAGAAGCGCACCGCACCACCGTGAATTTCGAACGGAATCGTTTCATTATTTTCTGTTTTCTTAGGACTTAGGAGTAATCCCACCAGAATATTTCAACAAATAAAAAATAAAACATTGTTATTTTCAAGTATTCGATGGTAAGAGTTACAAAAACACAGTGCTATTAAAGTCGAGTCGAGCCCCGATAAAACCGCCATCCAATCACAAAATCGGCTCGGAACAGTCTAAAAGTCGTTCCGGTTTTATGTAGCGGTTAACGAGCGGCCGAGGCGGTTAACCGCTCGAGTCGATCGAGCTGCTCGTCCGGTTTTGCCATTCAGCCGTTAATTTAATTAAAAAAATTGCAGAAAATTGAAAATTGAAAAAAACCAAAAACGTTGGGCTCTCAAACTGAATCCTTATTTTCATTTCACAATTTCGAAGGAAAGAGACGAGCTCTGATAAAGTAATGTCCGCTATATATACTGATAACGTTTATTAGGTACTGGTTCTCTAAGGGTTTTTAAACGGTCTAATGTCAGTTGGAGCACTAAAGTGTGAGCCGTTCACAATATCGAGTCATGCTCCGGTTCGATTCTGACAACATTGCAAAAACCAATACTACAAAATACAAATCATATATTTAGCCTTTCATTTTGTTTAGGTCCTAAATTCCTTCAAGACTGTGAGGATGAACAGGAACCACGCTTATGACTAAAAGGACGAGCTCACACGGAGTCTTTGTTCCTTGAACCCTGCAACAAGGTTCTCAGGTGGGAAGCCTGAGACACTCTCCGAAGATTTAGTTAGTGAGAGAGAAGATGAAGATGAAGATTATGATATATTTCCTAGAGAGAGTGGACATACCATTTATATGAGAATCAACCTTGCTATTTATACTCATTCACTGGTGACTGAGTGCATTTAATGTGATGTCAGGCGTCTGTCTCGCTTCGACCAATGAGATGACAGGCCGCGTAAGGCAAGAAATAGTGAGACCCAGTGTGTACTGCTCTAGGTCATGCCTCGAGGCTGTCTCGGGAGATGTAGCTGACCAAGTCAGTCTTCTATCAACCAGCTTACAATGATATGACGGGTCATTGTAAGGCGGGGATCTAACACATTCCGCCCTGGGTCTATTCTCGAGGATGTCTCGGGAGATGTAGCTGACCGGCGTCACCTCGAAGTGATCATTGAGACACCTCGGGAACTGAGAGGCTACTGCCTTGTGAAGCCTAACTAATGTGCCACTGCAAACGGCTGACTCTATTGGGTCGAATGATCTATCTTTTTGGGCTTATTTCTTTGCGCCTTGAGTTACGAGCAACTGGGCCATCACGCGTATATAGCCTTGGCCCAACAAAGAAGAACTCCTAATACCAAGGATAATCCAGCTTAGGCGTATCAGAAACAAATCCTATAGCACTGTCTCTAGTCTCTACGCCTCATGGACCAGTAGTTGGCCCAAGGCTATATACGCTTGATGGCGGCTAACCAGGCTGAGGCGGCTAACCAGGCTCAACAAGCGGCTGATAGCACGGTGGTAGCTCTCCTCTGATGTATTTCAAAAGGATGATGAAAATGGGTACTTTAAAGCCCTGAAGTTTGTTGTGGCTTCCATTTGTCACTAGTTTCGACAGACGACGTACCCGGAGGTCGTTTGGGACTCTGATGTGGTCCTGAAGGCGGTGGATTCGTGGTCGTGGAACGATGCGGATGTTGATTCTGAAAATGAGGGTTAAGGTGTCCTAGTGTTGCTTGTTCAATCATCTCTTTTTTGTTGGCTTGTAGTATTTGACTTTTGTTTGTTGGCCTTTTTAGTATCAAACTTTCTGTTGTAAGGATAATCTTAATCTTCCCCCCATTAGGTTCTTCGTTGATGTTTCTCCTTGCTTTCACTTGCATTTTTCGTTGTGATAATGACTACGACGTTAGGGCAGGACGTGTTGATCTCCTTCTTGATGAGGTGACACGGGGTGCAGTCAGGCAATGACTTGTTGTCACTAGTCACTGCGTTTACGCGACCCGCTCAACTAATTGTCACCCTTTCGTAGCTAGGCTCGGCTGGCACATGGGTGTGAAGCCATCTCCTAGTCGCGACACACTCATCCTTTGCTTGTTCATAACCCTTTTAAGTTTAATCTTTATTTCATTTGGTTTGGGATGTTACACCTTGATTCTTGTGTTTTTCTTTTTGTGTGTTTAAATTTGATTTATTTTTTATTTTATTTCTTCTAAATTATAAATATTGTGTGAAATAACTTCATCCTTGTGAGTTTGGGATTTTGTATGTTGCTTCTTGTGATAGCTCATATCTTGATACTGGTCCCAACTCCCAACTACAATATGAATCTTCACAATATCGTGCCTAATTGTGTGTGTGTGTGTGTGTTGAATATGTGTGTATGATGGCATGTGAATGTGAATCGATCACTGATTTGGCCTATCTATTGAATGCTTTAAAGCCTTGTTTATTTCCCGAATTTCAACAATTTAAGGGCTCCAAGCACTTGTGGATGAATGATTGTCGTATGGCCTATATTGAGAGTGTTTTGGAACCTAGATTATATGTCTTTTCAAATTTGAACGTTCTAAACACCGTGTTTCATGCATTATTTCTACTCATTGTGCTTTGAATTGTTATGATGTCGTGATGGTGTGCATTCTAGAGAGGATAGTGTAGCGCTATGGAGGATGTTGGTACATGAGAAATTTAGCCTCTAATTCCTCTGTGGTCGGTTTGCGCTTTAAATATGTGTAAGAGAGACAAGGATATTGCTTTTGAACCTTCACCTACTACTATCCATCCTCCCTTACACCTCTCCTCTACAAGGGGACTTGATAGAGAAGATACATTTTTTCCTTCTCAAGTCGAGAGGCCTCGACTCTTGATTATCTCACATGTGTCGCAACCCATTACTATTTAGGCCGATCTCCATAGATCAAGTCTAGCGATGAGAGTGTGCTTTGAGAAACGCTTTTGTGTAAACTGAGCTCAGGATCTTCTTGTATCCTACCTACTCCTACTAACTTTCATCCTTACTTACATCTAGGGATGTCAATTGGTGCAGTTACGACTGCCCGCGCCGTTTATTGCGGTTATCCATACCCATTTAAGGCCAAATATGCTAACCGCAATCGTACTGTATGCAGTTAATTAGCAGTTACCTATTAACCACATAATGCGAGTAGCAGTTACCCACTGTTATCCAATAAAACCCGCATTACCTAATGGTCGTGAATCAATTAATATAAATCAAATATATAACCAAAAGAAAGAATTAAAATGTCGTCAACCTCAAATTGCAATTTGGAATAGTATAATTACGAGCTACATACAAAATCAGGTTTCATGGAGGGATGGTGGGGAAAAGGAGGAACTTAGAGATAGAGAGAGAAGCAACAGCTTCCATCAAAGTCAGTTGGGTTACGCTTCACAGGGGTTTGGATTTGATTATTTGTCATTTGAGTCGGGCTTAATGTAGGAATTAGAGTGTGGTGATTCTTTATTGAATTGTTTAACTTGTGTGGTTATTTAAATGGTTAATAAAATGGATATATCTAGGTGCGGTTAGTGGTTAATCGCATAACCTCAATACAGGTTATATTACTAATTGTGCCCATTGAAGGACTCTCTTATACGATGTGCGGTTAACCACTAACAGCAGGGTTGCGGTTCGGTTCCGGTTAATCCAAAAAAGGGTAAACATTTACAGTTTTCCCCACATGGACTTGATAGGAAAGTGAATATCGCTTCCACTTTTGCCATGAGATAGAGTGATTATTTTTTTGAAACTACAGGTGTGATGCCATGAGCGACAATGTAAGTTGAGGATCGAAAGTTTGAACCCTTTTAAGTGGGAGAACAACCATCAAGTCTGTTGTTTTCAACTGGTTTTTAGAGTCCTTTCATGCACATGTCATGTCTTGACTTCACCGGTTGACAAGGTCCCAACTTGAGTTTGTGCTTCACATCGAGGTGGGGGTGAGATCTCTTGTCTCCTGTTGACCTCGTAAGTTGCTAGTTTTCTTGCTACCGACGATCTAGATTGCATACCATTGTGAGGGTCATCAAGTTGCACCGGTTTAAGTTAGGTTTGCTTGAAGCAAACGGTTAAGTGTGGGAAGCTTGATTCGGACTTAATTATACACATTTGCACCCCCTTTCCTTGATTGTTTGACTTCTGATTCATCGTCCTTGAGGCCATTTTACACTAGATTGTGCTTGGTTGAGTATATTTCAGGTAATAGCAGGTTAAATTGGTAAAAGGAGCGAGAATGAGACCAATAGGAGCCAAAACTGGACAAAGAGAAGAAAAGTGTCAAAACTCACAGTTCTTAACAAATTATCATGGGCAGGCCCTGACATTCACACGGAAACCATGAAGATTACACACTTCCAGAAGGCCATATGCATCTCGTGGGCACTTGTAAAAGCTCGTAGTTGCAAACCATGACAATTGCATAGAAATCGTGAGGTCTATAAGTTAAATAGTGCACTTTGTGACAACCTCACGATTTGGCTGTAGTAATTATCACACTTGTGACGGGTAACCGTGAACTTTGCACTTCTGGGCTATAAATAGTTGCTGAAATCATATTTTTTTATAGAGGAGTCTAGAGTGAGAAAGTTGGCAGCTGTTAGATAAAGAGAAAAGTAACAAAGGAGATCCCTAGGTGGTGAATTGGAGTTTCAATCTATCATTGCTTGCTAAACCCATCATCAAGGATTGGAAATTAAAGAGCAAGAGCAAGAATCTACTCCAATGGATGTTTTCTTCTTTTGATTTTATGTTTGGCTCATTTTCTCTTAATATGAGTTAAACTCCTAATCACTTCACTACAAAAAAGAGAGACAGTCATGACGAGAACTTACTGACAACACTACATTCTCGTCAAAAAATTTACTTTTCTATGTCGTCAGTAATATCCATATTTTTACTAATCGCATTAAAATCTCGTCATCAATTGTGAGATTTTCCGTTAGTAATGGCTATTTTTTTTGAGGATGCAATTCCCGTTAGTAATGTCGTCTGTAATATCCACATCTTGGGTGTGAATTGTTTT